GATAGTTTTCCCCTTTAGCGGCAAGAGTGGCTTCCAGCAACCTACCTCTAGAGGTGGAGGTCACAATTGACTGAGACTGGGGAGCCAGTCCACCTCTCGCACCCGTGTGATCCTGTGAGCTCCGCCCTCCAGTGTGCAGCGGCATGTGACTCTAGTGATAGATCCAGGAGGTCTCCTTCCTTAAACATGGCATTGTGAAACAGAACAAACTCCTGTGAGTGAGTATCTCTGGAACCCTCCGAGGTCAACCCAAGGTCATGGTCTAGAAATCGACTCCCTCGTCTTCACGAGCTCTGAGAGCACCCTGTTGGTTTTTTATTGTGAGTCCTAGAGGCTTGCCGGACAAACCCATGCATGGGTGGTGTCCAGCCGACCTGCGATCAGGTGATCGGGGGCTGGCAGGGGGGAGGACAGGGTCAAAACTGCAGGGGCAGGCGGCAATTTGCATATAAACGATTGGCCAAATAAAGTGATAAGTAAGAAAGGGGGGGGGGCAGGATGTTTCTAAATGACCCTGCGGATCTGGGGGGGGGGGGACCAGGGAGGAGGATCCCAGGGGCCAAATTCTGCCCAGCCCATGGGCCTCCACTTCACAAGTTGGCACCCAGATACATGTTTTATCCTCATCTGAGGGGATATGCTCATTGATGAGAGAGAGAGAGAAAGAGAGAGAGAGAGAGATCAATCGGTTGCCTCCTGCAAGCTCCCTGATCAGGGATCAAACCCACAACCTTTGTATGTGCCCTGACTGAGAATCAAACCTGCAAACCTTTGGTGTATGGGAACGACCTACTTGAGTCACCTGGGGCCAGAGCCTTTTTAATTGACTTGTAAAAACAAGAGGGTTGGTCAATTTCCTCAAAGTTGCCTGGCAGCAGAAGATGAGGGGTAAAGGTCGGGGCAGTGGGGGCCAGACGCATTGCACAGGCAAAATCAGGAACTAGAAGGAGCTGCCTCTGGCCACTTGGTTGTCTTTCCAGGAAAGCTGAGGGGATCTTCAGCAGAGCCCTTGGTTTTCTGTCTTGGAGAAAATGGGGCAGGCTGGGGCCGCGGCTGGGGGGAAGGGTTATCTCAGCTGAGGGTGGAAAGGAGGTGAAAAGGGGAGTTCATCTCAGGAGGGGGTGGGGTGGAGAGTAAACTATGACTGGATCCCTGTCATGGACCAGCCGCTGCCCCTCTTCACGCCCCCCCCACCTCCTCCAGGGCTCCCATTGTTACCAGAGACAACATGCTGTTTCCTTCACTCGCCTCACCCTGCCAGGTCCCTGGAGCCCCTCATTCTGCTTACAGGGGGGTAGGGATGGTTCAGGCATCTGGCCCCAGGCCAGGTCCAAGGTTCTCACCACTGGAAGACCTCACAGCTGTGGAGGCGAGGCTGGGAGGGATGGGGTGTGACTTACCCAGGATCACAGCAACTACAGGTGTGGGCCAGCGCTTGGTCAGGTTCCATGGTACCCTGGAAATTACACGATTTGGAGGTTCCCTGAGAGGCTCGAGGCCTGGCTTCCCTTTTTTTGGCTCCGTATGCTCAGTTCCTCCTCTCCAAGCGCTCTCCCCAGCTGTGTGTGGCCTGCAGGGTTCTCACACATATCCTAGACGTATGTTCAGATCAATGTAGCTCTGGGGCTTAGAGGCACAGGCTCTGGGGCAAGCAGGCCTGGATTTGATCCTGTCACAGAACTTTCATTTATTTATCCTTTTTAAAAATCTTTTTCCCCAAAATATATTTTTATTGATTTCAGAGAGGAAGGGAATGGGAAAGATAGAAACATCAATGATGAGAGAGAATCATTGATTGGCTAGCTCCTGCATGCCCCACCCTGAGGATCAAGCCTGCAACCCGGGCAAATGCCCTGACCAAGAATCGAACCACGATCTCCTGGTTCATAGACTGATGCTCAACCACTGAGCCACATTAGCTGGGCTTATTTATTTATTCTTACATCAAATGTTTACTACCAGGCACTGGGGACACAGCAGCTGACAAAACAGATGTAAGTCCCTACTCTCATGGAGTGTACATCCTAGTGGGGGAGGCAGAGAGCAATAAGATAGGAAGTAAAAGAAGATATATAGCATGTCAGACAATGATTTGTTATGGAGACAGAGGGAGGGATGGAGAGAAGGCAACAGGAGATGGGGAGGAAGGAGTGCACTTTTAAATTGGACGGATAGCCCGACCAGCGTGGTCCAGTGGTTGACCTATGAACCAGGAGGTCATGGTTTGATTCCTCATCAGGGCACGTGCCATGGTTACAGGCTCGATCCCCAGTGTGGGGCGTGCAGGAGGAGGCCAATTGATGATTCTCTCTCATCATTGATGTTTCTATCTCTCTTTCCCATACCCTTCCTCTCTGAAATCAATAAAAATATCTTTAAAAAAAACACACTAAACAAATGAACAAACAAAAACCTCATAAATACAGAGAACAAACTGATAGTTGCCAGGAGGTTGAGTAGTGGGCAGATGGGCAAAAGGGTGAAGGGGATTAAGAGGTACAAACTTATAAATAAATAAGTCACAGAGATGTAAAATACAGCAGGGGAAATACAGCCAATATCTCAATACCTTTGTATGGTTACAGATGGTTACCAGACCATCTATCTGGTTAGGAATATAAATGTCAAATCACTATGTTTACACCTGAAATTAATATAATATGGCATGTCAACTATCCTATCTAATAAAAGCCCAGCGATCATAATGGCAGACCACTCACCCGTCACTATGAGTTGCACTGACCACCTCTCAGTCCCTTTTCCCCAGCTGACAGGCTCCCAACTCCTGATGGCAAACAGGGACCTGGGGGATGGGTGGCAGGGGATGCGGGTGGTGTCAGGCCAAGGCCCCCACCCTATCGGTCGCCCCACACACAGAGAGTGACCCGCGATGGGGGCAGGGCCACAAGCGGGCAGGACCAGCTCACCTCTTAGTCCTCCCCCCCGCCCCCCCCCCGCCCCAAGGCCGTCAGGCTTCGATCGCCCAATGGCAAACTGGGAACCCGGGTGGGGGGCGGTGGGGGGCGGGGCAGGCTGTCGGCAGCTGGGGAAGATGGCTTTGATTGCAGGCTAGGCCTAGGGACCATACCCGTGCATGAATTTTGTGCGCCGGGCCTCTAGTACTTTAATAAAAAGACCTTTATATTCCAGAATAGAAGAAAGTAGAGCCACCTGGATTTTTGAATGTGGATAGTGAACTGTGACAGGAAGAGAGAAGTTGAGGATTTTGGCCAGGGTAACTAGAAAGGTACAGCTGCCACTTACAGAGGTGGGAAAGCCTTAGGGAGGGGCAGGTTTGGGAGGGAGAGCAGCCATCCATCTGCGGTGTGATTCTAGGTAAGTTGCTTAAGCACGCTGAACCTCATTTTCCTCATCAATGAGTATAATAACCGCTCCCTTGCAGAGTGGTGGTGAGAACTGAGAGAGATCATGAACTCACAGCTTGGCCCACATGTGTATCCAATACCCATCCCACCCCTGGCCCAGGGCTGACACATGGCCATCACAAATCTTCAAGAAGACACTGGAAGGAGAGGAATACAAGGCCTATAAAGCTACACTCTAGCTCCTGCTTCCTCCAGATAGAAATGGAACAGGCCCTTTAGATGGTTAAGTTTTCTTTCTTCAAGGTCTTTGAGGATTTTGGAACTGTGATGCTGCCAGTGGAGGCTGGTGGTGAAGCAATGATAAATGGTCATATTCCCAAGGCTAGGTGAAAGTTTATGAAACACTTTCGCAAACTATTATCTCGCCTGAGTCCAAGAAGGCAGAAGTTATGTCCATTTTATGAAGAGAATGAGGTACACGTTTTAAAACAAAACAAACCCAGGCTATCTCTAGATCTTGCTACCATGTGGAATTTAATTTAATCTTGGGGTTGGGGTTGTGGGGAAGTAGGTAGAGAAGAGGGTCCTGAAGTGGGTATTCCTCTTCCTGTTCCTCAGCTGGAGTGCCACCCAGCTCTTCCCAACTGGGCCCAGCTGTGAGATGGATGGTGGGCCCAGCTGTGAGATGGACGGTGACCCCACTCCTCTGCCCCATGGGAGGGCCCACAAGTGCCTGCTGAGGTCCTGTTCTAGCCCACTCTGAGCATGCCTGGTGTGTTTGGGCTGCCGCAGTATTACTGCTTCTGAGATTTGGGCAAGTGGGTCTCAGACACAGTCCCATTCCAGTTACTCCTCCCAGGTCGTCCCCCAGCCCCCCAGCCCCCGCCCAGGTACTGAGGTAACTGAGGAGGGAGCCGGAAGAATCAGCATGCACACAGCCACATCATTACAAAGTGCAGTCTGGGTTCTGTCTCTGAGGTCTGAACCCAGCCAGGAGAATTCCTGCATCTGTTCCTTCCACTTCTTGCAGCCCAGCTGCCCCCTCCCCTCCAGATACCAGGTGCCAGCACACAGCTGTCTCTTCCTTGCTCCCCCCACCCTGGCAAGCTGTCCTGGGTTGGGCTGAGCTGGGTGGGGCAGCCCTGTGTTCTGAGTGTCCTGGGAGGCTGTGTCCCCACAAGCAAATTCAGCCAGAGCAGTGGTCCTGACTGGTAAGAGTTGCTGCCCCCGGGGTGGGGGTTTGGGAGGGTAAGGAGTGTCAGGTCGGGCTGGATCAAGGGCCCACAGGAGGAAAGTTAGAATTGCCTGGGGAGGAACTTCTGCTGGATTGAGGGAGAAGGAATGGAGAATGTCCAGAGAGTGTGTGCAAGAGGAGAGGGTGACTAGGGAAGGGAGGGGTGCAGGGAACTGTGGGAGCCCTGGAGGCTGGGAATGGCAGGCTGTCGGCCCTGGTCCCAGCTTCCCCTACAGGGAGAACCCTCCTGCCCCAGCTACCTCGCCAACAGAAAGGGCTTCAGGAAAGCAAAAGGGACCCGTGAATTGAGGTCTGGGGAGTGTGATGGTGGAAACTGGAGGGGGTGGGAATTCTGCCCAGCACCCCATGTCTTTGCAGGTGAGGAGGGAGCAGGAGAGGCAAGCCCAGATTCTGGATTGCCTTCCAAGTCACTGACCCGGCCATGCCCGCCCCGCTGCTCCCGCTCCTGCTTCGAATGCTGCTGTCCCGCCTGCTGCTGCCCGCAGCCCGCCTGGCCCGCCAGCACCTCCTGCCCCTGCTGCGTCGATTGGCCCGCCGCCTGGGCTCCCAGGACTTGCGTGAGGCTTTGCTGAGCTGCCTGCTGTTCATCCTCAGCCAGAGACACCAGCCAGACACCGGAGAGGCCTCCAGAGTGGCCCGCCCTGAGAGGAGGGAGAGGCTAGCCCCGCAAAAATGAGGCCCCGAGTCCTGCTAGCAACAGGGACGAAGTGCTTTCTTGTGGAGTACGACGGTCCAGACACCATCACTGACCGAGGCCTGCCCAGTGGGCATTAGCAGGAATGACCGGAACCAGGCCCCGCATCTAGCAGAAAACTGGTCTTCACCTCCTCCCTGCATCCCTCAGGGCATCTCCTCATCACCGGGGCCTCCGCAGGGCAAGGAACGACTCTCCCCTCCTTACCCCAGACAAACGCGGGCGTGGTGTCCGGAGAGGGACACTGTTTAACCAGGGACAACTGACCATTTAGTGGAAAGGCAAGATTTTAACCCAGACTGTCTTCCCGGCTGAGGATTTACCTTAAGAGCATGAGACCTTGATTCCCCAGAGACTCAGTCCCGCCCCCAAAGCCCAGCATGCAGCAGGTGCTCAGTAAATATTTTTGAATTCCCGGGGTGCCTTTGACATTCTTATCAGCCACACTCGGCCTGTGCCTGTGCAGCCAGACAGTCTCACCTGGCGGGGGGTGCGGGGGGTGGGGGGGGGCGCTGAGGGTGAGGAACAGCTCCAGGCTTCCTCCCACCCGACTCCATGGAGCCTGTGGGGCCTCACCTCCCGGAAGCTGTTCCTCTTGTCTCGCTGCAGTGGGCCCCACGCCGGCCGCAGTCCTGGCCTCTCGTGGCGACAGTGTGGTTGTGCAGCTCAGGGTGAGGAGGACAATGTCCTTGACTGCGTTCGGAGCCGCTCTCAGCTCCTGGCGGCGGAAGAGGGAGGTTTGTTGGCTGAGGGGCCCTGTGGGCCGCCGCCGAGGGCAGCAGTGCAGAATGCAGCTCCTGAGGGGCACTCCGCCGGCAGAGGAGGTGCTGCTGGGGCGGGGGTGGGGGTGGGGGGACCCGAGGAACTCACCGCTTCAGTTCCTCCTCCCCAAGGGGACGTCCGCCAGTGGTCAAATGAGAGCTGTCAGATGTGCTAGTATTTGCATCTCAGCCTCCGGATCATTTGTTTAGGGTCCTCCAGCAAGAGTCCTCCCTCCCTCCTCCTTCCACAAGCTCTAGGGCCAGAGGGGCAGAGCAAGGAATAAGAGGCATCTTACAGGACCCTCTCGTGTCCCCAACACCCGTCAGAGCCAGGGCCAGGGGAAGGCCTGAGGCCAGAGCTGTGAGCCTCATTCCTGCCCTGCGGGCTCTCCGCCCGGGCCCTGGGCTTCCTTCTGGCGTCCTCCAAAGCCTCGGGCAGGCGGCCTGCGGGGAGGAGCGGGGTGCAGGGGGTAAGAGCCTCTTGTCCCCTAACCTGTTCCCCTCCGGGCCACGGAGCCTTTTTTTTTTTTTTCTCCTATTTTCTGCGTCGAGCCTTGCTGCCGGCCTCCCTGCCGCCAGCCTCCCCCGAGCGCTCCCGGCTCCCGAGCTGCGCGAGCGGGGACAGAGCCGGGAGCTGGGGCGGCCTCGGATCGGGGGTCGCAGCCCCTCTCCCGCCCGGGCGGAGACCCGTCAGACCCGGCGCGGGCTGCGGTTTCCGGCTGCGGCCCCTCTCCCGAGATGAGGAGGCCGGGAGGGCGACCAGGGTCCTGCGGGCCCAAGGATTTCCTGCCCATCCCTCCGCAACTCCGGACGCCCCTCCCAGGTCCCCGCAGGTGTGCGGGGAGCAGAGGCGGGGCGGGCGGGGTCTGCGCTGGTCCCCGGGCCCGGAGGCGGAGGCGGAGGGTGCGCTAGGTTCCTGGTGGAGGTGGGACAGCCATGGGTGGGAATCTGCGGTTTCTGGCGGAGGGCATACCTTTCTGGGACTTTGCCCCAAACACCGACTGATCACGCAAGGTCAGAAACCCACCCGGGGCAGAGGAAGGGGCCAAAGGTGTGAGAAATTAGGCCCAGAAGGGCACGCCCAGGCCCCTGTCCACTCTCAAGGAAGGTGAGGCGAGTCGGACCCTGCGAGGGCCAGATCCCGTCTTTATTTCAAATGTTGATGTTTTGTTCATGGATGTTTTTCATTTACTAGGATTTTTAAAAAGTATTTCATGACAATATTATTCATCTTGATTCCTGAATTTTGGGGCAGCACCCCCCCCCCCCTTTAAATTTTGCATCTCAGGCAAGTACCTCCCTGGCCTTGCCCTAGTCCCAGCCCAGCCATGGAGATGTAGTCACAAACAACTGAGAACGCTCACAGTCATGAGGCATGGGCTGGGGACAGAACGCTGGCCCAGCCAGCACATTTCCAGCAAACAAGGCTGGAGGGAGGCCGCCTTGGATGGAGTCTGGGACAAGCCACAATTTCAAATAGGGTCCCACCCCACACCTAAACCAGGGACCTGAAGGAGCCCAGAAAGGAACTTGAAATACTCCAGGCACAGGCTGGGTGAGTTGGGCTCTGAGGCTGTCCAGCAGAGGGCCTTGGCACCCAGCAATCATCTCTGCCCAGAGAAGTGGCTCTGGAGGGCTACCGGTGCTGGCAGGGGGCCCAGGCAGGGCGAGTGCCAGATGGGCTTGTGTCCAGCAATAACAGCCCTGGCTGTTGCCATCTAAGGAACAGGCCAGGCTTGGAGGGGGCGGGGGGCGTGGGGGGATGGAGAGAGGAACCAGCCCTCCCCGGTCTGGCCTAGAACCCTCACCACTTCCCTCCAATTTCTTTCCAACTCCAGCCTCCTTTGCACACAACAGCAGCCATTGGCCACCAGCCTAGCCATGCCTGGCAGATCTGTCTGACCACTAAGGCCTGCCACCCCCACAGGTCCAAAGCTGGTCAACAGAGGTGGGGAAAGAGACAGGGGCCAAGAAAGAGGGGAGAGGCGGGCCTGGAGAGGAAGAGAGAGAGACTGGACAAACACAGGGTAGGAAAGGAGGTGCAGTGTCGATCCCCATTAAGCCATGGTGCAGTGCCTAGAAAAATACCACCAATGCCCCTCTTCCTGCTCTCTGTTTGGTTAAGACTGGGGGATGATGGTGTGTCATGTCTCTGGGACAAGCAGCTCAAAGGCTGGCAACACCCTTCTGGAGTGGTCTGGGAGTATCCACAGATCCTTGAGTGGCAAAGCTACTCCTCCCCTGGGGCCCAGTTTGATCTGGGGAGAGGGTGTGACTCTCCCATCCCTAAGATATCAGTACTCCTAATTGTTAATTAGTGTCTGTGGCTTCTCCAGCGGACAGGCCTCTTGGGCCCAGGGGGCAAGGTTGGGGACTGCATTGGATTTTCTCTCTTCAGCACCTCTCTGCCTTTGGATTGTCCTCCAGCACTGAGAGCTGCTGTAACGGCAGCGATTCCCCTTCCCCCAGATTTACTAACCTGCAAAACTGGAGGGGACCCCCTCCCGCTCCCTTGGAGGTACTAGGACCGACCACTCCTCAGCACGACCACCCCCTCTTCCTCCGGTGGTGGAGGATGTGGGTCTCAGCAAGCTTCCGCCCCTGCCTCTGTCAGGAAATAGGATTCCTCAGGATGTAAGGCTGTTCCCGGCTTTTTCTCTTCCCAACTCCTACTGTGCCTCCGTCTTTCCAAAGATCTGAATTTAGAAAGGGTGAATCATGAGGGGGCCACAGGGCAGCCTCCACCCATCACCGCACACACAGAGCCACACATCCCTCTCCGAGTCAGAGCTGTGGGTGGCGTGTCTGTGTGGATGTGGTCTGCGTGTGTTAGAGGGGGAAACCCACCACGCAGGTCCCTGATTATGCCCATGTTGTCGGAGGCATCCCAGGGCTGAGTGGGGTCGAGGGTGGAAGAGCAAAGACCAGGTCAGGTGTGAAAGGAAGAAAGTGGCGCTGAAAAGGAGGGGTCCTGGAAGGAAAAGGGTGCAGTGTGGATGCGAGTGGCTGGGAGGGGCTTGGGGAGCGATAAGGGCACCGCCAGGCGCACTCAGATAGTGTGGAGCTGGGGGCGCCCGGGCCTGTCTGGCAGGTTTGTCGGTGGGAGAGCCCTGAGGGCAGTTGTGTAGGATGCGTGTAGCCCCAGCACGGGGGAGGTAGGGGACCCCCTGTGGGACTGCACCCTCCAACGCCGCGGGCCCCTGGCTGGGCAGGGTTTGGTGCAGCCGGGCCCAGAGAGGTCCTAGCCCCGGAATAAGGCGAGGTGTGGGTCAGCGGCCCTGGGGGCGAAGGTCTCCGGGCGGGGCCCGTTCGGATCGGGAACCTCTGCGGGTCTGGCCGGGGCCGTCCGGGGCGTGGCCGCGCGGAGACCGGGGGCGGGGAGAGCGGCGAGGGGGGCGGAGGGGGCGGGCGGGGCGGGGCGGGGGCGCGCCCGGGGCGGGCCCAGAGGACGGAGGGTTTGAATGCGTAGCGGCGGGCGCGGGAAAGCGGCGACAGAGCGCGGGGATCTCTGCGCCGGAGGACCCCTTAACCTGCAGGTGCTGCCGGGGGCCGGGGGCCGGGAACTGGGGGGCCGGGGAACCGGCGGAGCGAAAG